ACCCTACTAGCGATGGCCTCCACCCTACTAGCGATGGCCTCCACCCTGGCCTCAAACCTACTAGCAATGGCCTCCGCGATGGCCTCCACCCTAGTGATGGCCTCCAGCCCCAATAGCTCTGCCATATCTGAAAAAATAAACAAACAAATTTGGGGCGACGTTCATCGTTGCCCTTTCCGCCCTCCTTTTCCTCGCGCCTGGCATTGAGCCGGCGCCGGCGCCAGGTGCCATCCCGCTCACGAGCGTAGGAGATCACATCTGTCTTCCCTGTGAGGACCTGATTTTTTAAATGGTTGATCTGGCCTTGTAGTGGAAAATCCTTAGTAAAACAATAGTTGGTTGTTCAGCACATGCTATTAAATAGATGGTTATATTATACATTTATATCCCATTGATTCTCCTGCTCTAGCCTTGAGATATCTTAAAGCCATATGTCATATGTCTCAGATCTATTCCGTGTCCAGGGTTGGAGGTCATCACTAGTAGGTTGGAGGCCATTGCTATTAGGTTGGAGGCCATTCCTAGTAGATTTCCTGGTTGAAGGAACAAATGCTTCGTTTGATCTATTCAGCCGGGCCTGGAAGGCCCAAGCACAGCCGCCGCCTGACAGAGCGCCGTAGCTGCCGCAGAACTTGGCCATGGCCTTCTCCAAGAGCATCACCTGTTCTGCCAAGGATCACTCTGAGACTGAAGAAGTTGGCCGAACTTGGCCCATTTCAACGTGACATAAAGTGTTATCTTTGAATATAGGCCTGGAGCCCCAAAGTATGAAGAGTCATCCCTCTGAGATAGGTCTGTCTTTTGCATTCCTTCACACTCGCGTGGTCCCACAGGGGCGACCACGCGAGTGCGTAGCACACCACCACGCGACAATCTCCCGGCCACATCTTGGATCGGCCACGCGTTCCTTCCACGTGCTTTCGGCGCTTCCGAAACAGGGGCGATGTGATCGCCGAGGTGCTGTTCCCCTTCCCTTCCTACCTCCTAGATGGCCTCCAACCTAAGAGGCCCAAAGGAAGGGTGGGAATCTTCTCATGTAAGCCACGCATGGAAAAGACTACCGCGAACCTTTTTCCCGAATTGTTCACCATGACCTTGCTGCCGAGTCACCCAGATTTCTTCCCCTAAAGGCTTTGAAAACTCCGCGCGCGGGACGCCGTAGCGCACATTACATGGCAAGAACTCATCGATGGCCACCGACGTCCACTCGCTCTTCTCGATGTCGAAAAGCCAGATCTCAAGGCGCCAACATCACACCGGTCACAGCACGGTCGCCGACGAATTGGACGGTCTTCCAGACGGACAGGGCTTCCCTGCCACTACAAAGAAGTCCCTGCAGTGAAGATCACATGCTCTTGGGTGCAAAAAACGATCTGTCTGATATATGTTCTCAATGGAACTGGTCCTCTTCATGCCCGCGTGGAGATGAAAAGCAATCATTGGTATCCATGCCCATCCATGCCCTTCTTTTCTCAGTTCTGTGTTACGTGAAGACACGTGTTTCCTGGGTCCTGCAACCAGCGTCTTCCAGAGTCCATGCAACTTCTTTCACTCTGGTGACACTCGTTTGCCCATTGAATTCGATCATTCTCCCATCCTTAGCAGTCACAGTCCCACCATCTTCTCCAAGGAACACTATACTTGCCATCTTCAGTGAGGTGTTTTGAACTGAAGAGGCTCTTCAGCTTCTGCGGATGACTCCCTAAACCTCAGCTCTTTCTCGCGCTGAAAACCGCCGGCGAGAAACTCGGGCAGCGATCGAGCAATGCAAGGGAGGTGCATTCCGTTTTGCCCGAGAGAAACTATACTAGGGTGAGATGACTTAGGCCAATTTGGAGGTAGTTTTCACAAGTCCTTTGTCATTTCAGCCTAGTATATATGAACACATGGAGACCAGGAGATGTGTTCTTCCTGGCTGCGGCTGAGCAGGCCTTTTTCTCCTGCGCGGCGCCGTCAGCTGGTCATGCCAAGTCCGGTGTCTCGATCACTCACTTCTACTGTTGAAGACTTCAAGGATTGTATTGGAGAAGTGTTTCACTACCAGGAGTCACAAAGGGGTGCCGGAGGCTTTTCGGAAACGGAACTGGAGGACACCAAGACGGTCATCCCGCAGCCCATGTGGGGAGTGTTTCGCGCTGAGCGACAGCTTAAGGAGCTCATCAGCCAACAGTCGCCCAAGCTTCCCTGCAAGACGTCTTGAGGTCGAACCTGAGAGCTCGACTCTCGTGGACGAAACCCCATCGCGAGGGTCGCGGACGCCGACCCCCAAAGCGCGGACGAAGATCCGTCTGACTTGACCGGGCCGTCTTCTACTTCCATGTTTGTTGGATAGAGGGTAGCACTGTTTGAAGACATCTTCTTTGCGGTTTGGTAGCCAAAGGTGCATGTGCCCTTCAAGACATGAGGCGAGCCAAATTCATGCTAAACCTCAGCATCCTTTAACCGCAGCATCCTTACGGTAAAAAGAAGAAAGACATGGACAAAGCTCGCGAGCTTGCCGCAGATTCCCACACCCCCGGATGGAAACCCCACCCACGTAGCACCACGTACGAGGTGCGCGCGCGCCGCGCCACGCTTGTCGTGTCGCACCTCGTCGAAGAGGGTGGCCTCGCTGGGATCTCCCAGCATCCGTGCTCGGATCCACATCTCTGCACTGCCACACTTGAACTGCGTCGAGGACTCACCGATGCTGCACTGCCTGGGTCGACGAGATCCGGAGATCCCCGTCGCCGTCGCAGACGGCCGCGGCGCGGCTCGGGGGCGGAGGAACACAAACGCGTGCGAAACGGTCCACGCAGTGGAGACGTGTGCGAAGCGGCGGTGGGAAGGCACGTGCAGCACGTCACGTGTCTTCAGCGACCGTGTCGGAGGCCAACGGGTGCGGCTTCGTGCGAAGACTTGGCCATGTCTGGGTTAGAACCCCCGCGTTGCGGCGCTTCAAAGAAAATGCTGTCCCACTCTCCAAGCTCAGCCCGGTGGCTCCTAGTAGCGTCCTTGTTCCTAGTAGTAAGGCCAGGAGCCCCTAGTAGTGTCCCTCTTCAAGGCTCAGCCCGGTGGCTCGTGGGGGAACTCCGGATCCACAAACGCCTTGGACAGGTCATCCTCGATGCCCGTGAACTCCGAGCGATGCGACATCGACCAGCTGTACCTGTCGACCGGCGGTGGCGCTCGCTGGTCCAGCTGGTTGAGCTCGCGAGCCGCCGGGCTCCGCGCCCGGAAAAAGGTGAGGTGGTGGTGGAACAGTCTTCTTGGAGGTTCCAGGGAGGGATGTCAAACCTTGGCCTTGCAATCATGGCAACTGAGGTGAACTCTGAGTGGTTGGAATGTGAAAAGGCATTGGATTTGCCAATGGTGTCGCCAATGATTTCAACAAACCGTGGTGGTAACCCAAAGCAAGAGAAGGCCTTCAAGTCGACCAGCTCTTGAGAAATGAACCAGTCACCCAGTCTCACTGGGTCTTTGCATACTATGTTGCTAGATGCAATTCGAGCACTCATCGATGGAAATCCTGTACAAATTGAAGTACAATTTGTTCAATGGCATCGCTAGATTGCTTCATCTTATTTCAAGCAACTGGGACCACTTCTTCCACCTCAGCTCCAAGATATGTTCTGCTGCCGTTGGATCCGGATCTCATCAATCCAAACAAGTTCAACAACACAACCATGGGCCGAAGCTCGCCGAAAGCACAAAGGCCAACGCCTTCAACTATAGTCTTCAACTTTTGAAGAGACCAGGCTCTTGTTTGACCCAATAACCATAGCCTCCAACCTAATAGCGATGGCCTCCAACCTACTCTTGAAGAGACCATGCTCTTGTTTGCGATGGTCAAAATGATGTTTGTCCAACAATCGAAGACTTGTCCGCCAACCCCCCCTCAGCTCCAACCACCCCACACCCACCATCCGACGCATGGATGTGCCGGGTTGCCGGTAGGGAAGACCCTTCACCTCCAACAAGGTCTTGGTGACTTGTTCGCCAGGCTTCAATACGAACTCAGCCGGATTCCCTGAGGGGAAGTCCATGTTCTGGCCTCCAAAAGAGTGCAAAACAGCGAGGTCAGGCAAAAGACGGTGTCTTTTTCTCCCATCCCTTCCCTGGTGACCCCTCATCAATCCAGGCGTGAAGTCCCTCCTCATGTGTTGGTTTGGTAGATGGAGTTCACGAGTTAAAATCCTTCCGTGAAGTTCCGAGGTGAGAAGGAACAAAGGGCCGAGAGCAGCGGACGTTTTGACATCGTCTTAAGCAAGTTTATCTTCGAGTGAAAGCGCGGAACAAACTCCTTCTGGACCACTGGTCCTTGACCAACCTCACGACCTCGGGAAGAACCCTCCACTTACTCTTCTTAAAGGGTTGTCATACTCCCAACTTGTTCAGGAAAATGTTCCTCGGATAGAAACGATGCACACCTTAGAGCTGTTGTCACTTGGGTTCTAGCACAGTTCAGTGAATCTTCTTGAGATTTTCGGCTGTGCAGTTCTGGTGCCAACTCTACTGACTCTACTGAAAGCCAAGCCCGGAAACATCCAAGTGGCATTTCTTGAAGTTGAAGGTGAACTTCCTGCCTAGCTGACGTCACTTCGGGACCCACGCGCTACGCACGCCCTTCATGCCTCCATCTTCCAAGCTTGCTCCACATGAAAGAGAAAGAAAATCACAGCTGCCCGTCAGGTCAACTTGAATTCTTTCGTTCTAAAAGACTGTTTACAAGCCCTTGTAAGGCAAAATGAAAAGTCCCAAGGACGTGGGAAACTACAGTAATGAACATCTAACATGTTCTCGAGTTATTGTTCATGTGGGTGAAATCCATTCTGTATCCCTATTCCAATCTGCAAATGAGGTTTCCCCTGGTCACGAGAACATATTCTAACCAACAGACATGTTGGATGATCTTGATATGCTCCTGACTGGACAACGTCCCATACCGCTGGTTGGAACACCCGCACGCCCGTGCGCCGGTTCCCGGCGCTCGGACGGAGTCCTGTGGCCTTGTTCGTGTTGGTAATCACTGCTTCGACGGTGCCACTCCCTGACGAGCTGAACGGGACCGGAACGAAGGACCCGAGGTGTCTCATTCATCGAATCTGCTGACTTGAGTTGGTGTTAAACGACGGGGACATGTGTGTGCGACGTCTCACGTCCCAGCCGTCTTGGTCGGGCGCTCCGTCGTGGTCGTGCGCGCCGTCGAGGAAAAACGTAGTTCGCGACTCGTGGCTTCGTGAAAGATCTGAAGAGCGAACGGTGCTCGGATCCAGTGGGAAGAGACTACCAGCACCTTCAAAGGGGTCACCTGGCTGGAAGCCCCTACACTAAGGCACCTCCAGCCAGGACACCCCTTGAAGGTCCAGGTAGGATCGGAATGCACAGAAGTCACGGTACCTCTTCATACCCGCTGAGTTCGCAGACCTCACTCCTGCTGGACTCGGTGGGGTCTGCGGCTGGACGAGAGGGAAGGCACCCGGAAGGCACCCGGAAAGCCCACAACATCCGCTCGTAGTGGCTCCACGGTCCCCCAAAAAGGGATCCGCCCTAAGGATCCACACTCTCAAAAACAAGGGGTTTGGTTCGGGTACAAACCCTTGTGAACTAGAGGGTTCGACCCAGACCGCCATGGAGGGTCCGGAACTCGGATCCTTAGGGTGGACAAGGATCCTTAGGGGACCACAACATCCACAACACTCAAACCACCCACATCGACAGGCGCCACACGGAAGCCCACAACCCTTCCAAGCACCAGAAAGAGAAACAAAAAAAGAACACCGAGAATTCTCCGCGCAACGAATGCGTGGTTTCCAATTGTTCCACCCTGGGCCGGACGTCCCTTCGGACGTCTCCCACTTGAGTCGTCGTCGATTCGAGACCTCGCCTGCGGTGATCTTCTTGTTGATCTTGTACCTGGGTGGGGTGGAGGTCAGCCAAGAGATGAACTCGTGCACTTGAATCGACCCATCCTGGCCCGCGCGGCGCGCAAGGCGCGCGCAAGACGGAAGGACTCACCGGTCCTGGGCAGGTTTGTCCGGAGGTCGAGTCGAACAAGTGCTTCAAACGGTCGAGTCGAATCACCAATCTTCCCCTCGTACATCTTCCGGCAAAGAATCCCGATCCCCACCCGGGATTCTAAGATGCTGCCCATGGTCGGTGTTCACCCCCAAAGACTCTTCCTTGGTCCTTCTCCGGGCTTCGACGTTAAACATAAACAAAAAGAGCGGACTCAAGGCATCGGAGAAGACCCCAAACCTGGTTGGCGTCCGCACTCTTGAAGATGCTGGCAGCTTTCTCCTCAGGGGGGCAACATCGGCAAAATGATTCAAAGCAGCCCAGGATCAACTGCTGAGAAAGCAGAACATGTTAAAACTGCCACGAATGCGCGGCGGGGAGCGTGTTCTGCCCATCTCCAAACTGCTATATGGCTGCAGCAGTCCTTGGAAATGCAGAGCTGCTGAAAGACGTCCATCATCTCCTCCTCTGAAAGCACGCCATCCCCAGAAGTGTCATACCTCAGTGGTTTATCGTGTGACAGAAAACCGCGAAAGGACAGTCCCTCGCAGTGTTGGCAATCGAGTATTTTTTCTGTATCAACCTCACCTTGATGTTAGAGAATGGTGCTGACAATGACCAAAAGAAGGAAGAAAGTGAAGAAATCCAAAAAGGGACAACGCAAAAACGTCACTCTTTTTCTTCTCACTGCATTCAGAGCTTCCAGGACCGTCTTTCAACGTCTTGAAAAACCACCGGATCGGGAGGAAAACGCCTCTTAGCCGATCCAAGTGACTTCTCAAAGAGCTCCTGCAAGCGCCTCTTGGCCGCCATCGCAGCGTCGCCGCGTCGCCGGCTGCCGCAGCGGGCGGACCAAAACAGAAAGAAGACACAAACACCACTTCCTCCTCCGGAGGCCAAGCCAACCGCAGGTCGGTCGTGCGCACGACCATGCCATACGTCGACCGACGGACCGGACGAGAGACGGTCTGACGGTGCGAACGGTACCGGACGGTCTGACGGTGAGTTAGAGCTCCGAAAAAGCACCATTTTGGGATGAAGAGCCGAAAGCAATAGCTCTGCTTGGAATCTCCATCCATCCACCGAGTGCTGGTATCGATATCACAGTTCCTCTTGATGTCTGAAGGGGGTCTTTCAGCGTAGAAAGACAAGGAGTCCCACCTGCGGCAGCCTGCGGCCAGGTACCGACGACTTGAAGTCGCGTGCCTTGCCTGCTGCATCACTTGGCCTCAGCGAAAGAAAAGTGGACCTGCGAAATGAAGAGCCAGATTTGATATGGTGTGGTGGAGAATGCAAGATTCATCAAGATTCACTATTAACTTCGCAAGAACTGGATCTGAGAAAGGATAGAAAAAGGACATTGAACACATTCCTTCTTGCAACTCACAGGCCCTTTCAACACCCCTAGCGTTCAACATGAACCTGCAAAGGACATCGGTCTCTCCCTTTCATCCCATCGCCGCCGCACCTCTGATCCCATCTGCCTGGGCAAGACACGGATAGCCTCGGACCTTTTAGTCGACCTTGAACGCCAGGAGCCCCGTTCGTAGCGAACCTTGTTCCTAGTAGTACGGCCAGAAGCTCGCGTCCGAACGCAACCCCGTTCGTAGCATTTCAGTTTACCAAGCCGCCCCCCTTGGATCAACGGA